GGGCGCTAAACGAAAAAACAAAGTTGAACAAAATTATTTTCTTTTAAAATTGCATCTAAACAAAGCGCGCCTTCTAGATTGTTTACGGCAGTAAATCCCACGGCAGTAAATCCTGTATACGCATAGCAATAGCCACTACATTGAGTATGCTTATGACGTTTATTTTATATGGTATTCTGAAAGATACGAAAGCAAGTGGCTCTTTGTTTCAAAATATCTTTGTCGACCGAACACGTGATCAGCTTCTATACACACGATGTTGGTGGAACAGTCAGAGAAGTATATTTATCGATAAGTCTATTTTTCTTGCATTCTATCATTCTAGTTAATAAAACATACGAATATTACTTTATTAATGAAGATAAATATAATCTTCCTATATTACTTCCAATTATTGTTATATATATATCGCAGTTGGTTTGTTTTAGTCTAGAAAAAATAAATATTTATGTTCGTCCTATAATAGTTACAGTAATGTGTGGTTGGTTCATTGCTCGCTCATTGGATGGTGTTGACCTTTGGTATGAAGTGAATTTGATTAATGTATATTATCTTATTTGGCAAGTGATGCTTGTTATTACAAAATGGGAATTAAAACAACTTCCTATATTCTCACCTGATATTAATCGAGGATGAATATGTGTGATATTGGCATTTGAAGCGTTTACTGTTTATGATGCTATCTTCAGATATTTATTAACACAAGTCAGTTTTATATTTTTGTGGATGGTACCCTTTGCAGACATGTGAGTAAATAAAATTATTATCAGTGAGTGATATTGAACAGGCTTATCAAATCTTCTGATTTCAGGAGCTGATTTTGAAGATTTTCTCTTGATTTTTAGATTTTTACTTTGACTTGAGGCGATATCGTTAGGCAATAAAAAACTTGAAAGGAAAAGAGAACTGATTGATCGCAATGTGTAATAGATGTGGTTTTTGTAAAGTTTCAGTTACAGAATTTTTTTGTGAATTAATAATCAAAGTAGTATGATACGAGATTCAGTTGCGACAGGATTAAAAAACAAGAGTAAACATTGACTATAATGTAGATATTTTGTAAGTATTTTCTAAGTAACTCAGATCTGTTAAACCGAAGTTGCTTCTTAAAAAATTAGTCTTACTGCAAAAGCACCACAAATCGCAAGACAAACAACCTATCGTTCGTATTCACTTATTTCTTCTGATTCATAGCAGGTCATCTGTTAACTTCTTATTCATTTTAATAAGCAATTGTAAAATGACTAATTATAGAAGGTTTAATAAGAGGCTTTTAATTTCATTTTCCGTGACTTCTGAGAAAAATTTTTCTACTATCAAGTTAGTATGAGGAGAGAAGCGCTTATCTAAATGAAAGTTTTGTTTCTGTTTAAGAAAAGCTATCACGCACCCTCCTATCTTCAAATAAAAATCTCTTGATTTCTCTCGTGATTTAAAAAAAAACAATCTCCTGATAAACTTCTGATTTTTTTTACAAAATAACTACTGATTTCTGAAATTTAGATTTGATAAGCCTGGTAGAGGTAGCTTTTCTGAGGATTTGAGTTTCATTCCTTGAATTACTACCGCGTTCTCATCTCAAAGGGACGCCAGACGACTTCTTTTCAGGCCAATAGTCAAAGTAAAATGACCACAGTGCTAGAAAGGATCGATGAATTTTTATGAAATTGGTTGAGTTAATAGTTGAGATACAACGTTACATGGCGAGCTATTAGCTGACCTAGGAAGTTCATATTTTCCGTGGTTATGGCGTTCAAAAGCGACTTGACACTTGGATATCTTCCCTCGTTGGTGAAATAATAATGTTTTTATTTTTCAAGCCACTTTCTCCATGTATTATATCTTACATTTCCGATATACATTATAGATCTATCATAATTCTATTTTCATTTTTTAAACGACTTAAATGATATGGAAAAATTTTTCTTACGAAACGATAATTTGAAAAGCATTATTCTTGATGAAAAAGCTTGTTAGCGCAGCTCCTGCGGAGCTGAAATGTGGAACTCACGTATATCTTTAGCTTTGTTACCTGACGCATCATCTGTATTCTGAAAGACTTCTCGTCAACTATAGTTGTTTTCCTTGAGAATCGATCAAAAGAGCAGGAATTTATTATTTATTTGTATATTAAAAATATATATTAAAAAAAGAAAATATTGTTTTTTCATTTAAGCGCGCTCGATTTCATTTATAATTATTGCTATATACTCGATAATAATCTTTTTTTTTGTTTTCTAATTTGAAGTTATTTTTCTCCACCATCGAGTATTTGATGAATACGGTTGTTGCAGTCTATTTTGAGGGGGGGGGGTATGTGTATGTAATAATCTTTTTGCTTCCTATGG